CTGAATCGTGACAAAAAGTCTAGGATACGTTGGATAGATTATGAGACGTTGGATAAATCATGAGACAACACACCTTGCTGGAAAAGGTGATAATGCTCAGTGAAATGGAAAGCAGCAGGAAAAGAGGACGATCCCATTACAGGTGGATTAATTTGATAAAGGAAGCCTGGGTTTATATGACCTGAACAGGGCTGTTGGTAACCAGGATTCATGGAGATCTTATATTCAGCAGGTCACTATGAGTCAAAGGCACCGCTCTTCTAGATGGGGCACATATTTCTGGAGGTTCTGGTATGTATTGCTGTAGCTCTCAGGATTTTTTAAATACCCAAATGATGCTTCTGTTATTCTGGACTATTTTCTGACAATCCTGGGCACCAAGATAGGGCTGCAACATTTTATTCCCACCTTCAAATGTGGGTTTCTTCTCAATTTCAAGACACATCAGAACCAAAAAAGTCTCCTTCTCTACTCCTTTTATCATGGTTTTTTTAATTCTTTGATTTATAATAAATCTCCTTCTCTTCTTCCATCTTTTTTTTTTAAAAAAATTATTTCTAGTGCATCAGAACATCACTGAAATGGCACTTCTGCATTATAGCACTGTAAAAATTTTGTTTTTTAAAAAGAGACAATTTACCTTTCAGTCCATACAATCTTCTCAGCAACTATATCTCCTTCAAAAAAAAAAATGCTGGAGAACCTTAGAGAATATACAAGAAATTTCTATGAACAGCCCCCCAAAAGAATTAAAATGTATGGACACAGAGGTGACAACAATCAACAAAACCCAAGGAACTATATTGCAAAAACTTACACTTCTTTAGGTCAAATTGTAAGATCTCCATGTCCAGTTATTTCCTCTGAAACATAGAATCATAGAATTGGAAGAGACCACAAGGGCCATCCAGTTCAACCCCCTGCCATGCAGGAACTCCCAATCAAAGCATCCCCAACAGATGGTCATCCATTGAGGTTGATATAGGAATGGCATGAAGCCAACAATGCACCCAACCTCTTTTCCCTCCCAACTGTACTCAGGAATAGATGGCATCGGAAGTCAGACTCCATTTCACTATCATGGCTAATTTGCCTAATTAAGTTTTAGAGATGGGACAACTTTTATTATGGTTACTTTTCAATATTTTTGTTGCATGATCATTTTCTAGATGGTTTATATAGTTTCATTATTTCTCTGGATGTCTAAATTGTATCATTGTGTCATTTATGAATTTAATAGGTTCCTGCATTAACGTTAAATAAGTATTCACAAGTACGAGACTTTCCTGGTTACTAGTCTTTTTCGTCACTCAGTTTAGAGACCTTCTGTGTGTAAGCCTATATTGCCCTATATTGCCCTTTTAGCATCTGAAGTCAGACTCCATTTCGCTATCATAGCTAATTTTCCTAAATAAGAATAAGAATAAGAATAAGCAGAGGGGTGGGATATAAATAAAATTGATGATGATGATGATGATGATGATGGCTTGTCTTCTGGTCCTTCTTGTATTCCATATGATGAATTACTTTCTTTGCTCTGTTCAGAATCTTTCACCAATCAACCTCATTGGGAGGTTTTTACGATTAGGATGAAATAAGGAAGCAGGAACGGTCTAGCCTTCTTTTCTGCATGCAAAGTGGGTGCACCAATGCTGCCCTCTCTGCGAATACTGGTATGCACAGAAGGTGTGGCTGCCTTTGCAGTTTCCTCTTGTCAATTTCTGTGGACTCAAACATGAACTTCAAGTTCCTTGGAAATAGGCAGTATGGGATGCCTGAGTAAGTGGATGCACAGGAGGAAGACAGAAAGTGCATCAGGGCCAACAAGTTTGCAAAGGGACAAAGATCAGGATTCCCCAGCACACG